GGCTCTCTGACACGTAAGAATACCTAAATGTATATTAGAGATGATTTCCTCTATTCTGTTTACGTATTATAATATACAGTACTCGAATGTATAAACATTTAAAAATATACTAACAATGTTATAAATGGTGCAAAGGTGACATTAAAACAATATCAAAGATGGCTGACACAAACCCATTACCATTATACATAGTATGCTTCTTGCTTAGTGACGAATTTGTTTACCGACGTGGTCTTGGGAACTGAACTCCATCGTTAAGTGAGGAGAGGCTGTATATAAGCCCATTGTGTTACGTTAGTCTGTTTTTACCCCCATTGCAGGCCCTTAGCACTCCTGCAGTGCTCCTTTATCCTTTTTCTTGTCCTTAGACTGACCACACTTCTCCCCCCCCCCCCTCCCCATTCCTCTACTATTGCTACTACCTTTACGTTTGCCCCCTTTCTCTCTCTTTTACCACTAAACTACTCTCCCTACTTTCTACTACCACTATTTCTACTGTTACTACTACTACTACTACTACCAGTGCTTCCTCTTCTCTCTTGTTCCTGTCCCTTTTCCTGCCCACCTATACATAGTACTGGCTTCCTCACTCTTTTCTGTTAGTGTGACTTTGTACATGGTCCAAGCTGGACTGAAATGTTGCCGTAAGCTCCTTTCTCCTATGTATGGGCTATCTGTGTATTGTTCCAGTCACAGTATTTGTGCCTTTTTGTTCTTTGCAACAGGTAATATTCCCTGTAAACTACCTCTTACCCTATCTGGTGCATACCATTAGGATAACACCTCTAAAACTGATTAACCATGACTTAGCAATTACCTTTCAGTAGATTTTAGTGATGGGTAAATCAGCAAAAATACCAGGAATCATATGCAGGTAACCTGGAGTAGTGCTGTTACCAGATGGCTACCAATGTCTCACCAGAGGGTCACCTGGCATATCCAAAGATGATCCATTTTCCATCAGATGAGTGACCTAACCACCACAGTGCTACCAATGGAAATTTGTTAGAATAGAGCTGACAGTAATTCCTTTTCCGTCTGTCTGATATCTGCAGCTCAGTAAAGATCTCCACTAACGAAGATGAAAGAAAAAAGGGAGGGAGAGATGGTGGGCATTTAGATTTAATCATGGGAAGAGAAAAGGTGGTCCAGTTCTGCAGATCAAGAGCTCCACCACAAAGGAATCCCCCTTGAAGGTTCAAAACAGAAATATTATCTCACAAATAGTATAGTACAATACCTGAGCTGTTTTTGGTATAAGTACATTTCATATGAAAGGAGGCAGGAGAAAAACAATTTTTCATTTAATATTGTATTTATGAATATAGCACAATCATAACACTTTCAATATATGGATGCTCTTACCTACACCCAGAGGCATTATGTACACAATTATTTACAGTTTTGATCTGGCAAAATAGTAGTTATTAAAATAGTCAATATTGCATATACAAGCAATTGTTTTAAGATGATTTGAACTGATAGATTTAAATCTGACAGAACATGGGAAGTGTTACAGAAAGCTTTAACTTGGATGCACAATACAGAAACTTCACATATCAAGTCACTAAATATCTTATTCAAAGTGTTTAGACTAGAGGAAGCCCTAGTTAAAATAAATCTTGGTAGGTCAAATAAATCTCAGCTGTAGGTCAAACTTACGATCAGTGATATATATGGTAGCAGACTGTAGAAATCTGGACTTTCATATACCAGTTGTAAGTGGAGCCATGCAGCTTCAAGAGTGGGCTCATTCACCTTTGGGTCAAACCCTGGACAATGTTCAGTGAAGCTCAGGTGATGTATGTGATGGCTAATTATGTTAGAAGACAGTGTTTTGTTCTCTGCTTCATTGCTGCTCCTAAAGTGGAGCAGCACTAACCAGAGAACATAACACTATCTTCTTCTAACATTATAATCCATCTGAGCTCCTATGAACATAGTGCATAGTTCGACCCAAAGGTGGAGGAGCCCACTCTTGAAGTTGCATGGCTCCACTTGCAATTGGTTAAAAGTTTTTCCCAGGATTTCTAAAAAAATCCAGACTCCAACCATCTATTTCCATATACTGTAGTGATGAGAAACGTTTGCCCTGCAACCAACACCATAACTTTCTGCACAAACTGTAGATACTGTAATAAAGAATTATGAAAAAAATACTTATTACTGCAGTAAACTATATATTTATCTAGTTAAAACTTACTGTGGTACAATACAAATACAAGTTATAAATTTACCTATTCTTTTGTGATCTGGCATTGCAGCAAATGATTGAGAATTAAATTTTGACATTTTTCATAAGTGATGTACAAATACAGATACACTGATTTAATTATCTGCAGGACTTCAGGAAACTTCTTTAGAATACAAAAAAACAGTAATACAGTGGACCCCCGCATAACGATTACCTCCGAATGTGACCAATTATGTAAGTGTATTTATGTAAGTGCGTTTGTACGTGTATGTTTGGGGGTCTGAAATGGACTAATCTACTTCACAATATTTCTTATGGGAACAAATTCGGTCGGTACTGGCACCTGAACATACTTCTGGAGTGAAAAAATATCGTTAACCGGGGGTCCACTGTAATTTAATTTGTAAGTCCCACTGTAATATGCATCCAGCTAGCTTACAGATGTATGATGGGTGTACATGTGGGGAAGGGTGAAACTGGTACTGCTGTAAGGTCTACACTGCTAAATGCCATTACTTGTACAGTATATTTGAAAATCTGAGCATTTCTGTGATGCAAATTACAATTCTGCATTATTATTATTTAAACCTCTCAATAATACAATGTTTTGGTTAAGCACTTTCTTTGATTAAATAATAATACAACAAAGTAATAAAATCATACTGTAACTACACAACTGAAGGTTACATCCAAAACTCATTTGATTATAAAATATTAAAGTTAACCATATTTTATTTATTTCATGGGGGAAGGAAATGCTAAACCACAAGGGTTATGCAACACCTTGGGGAATGGGAGGCAATCAGATTCAGGCCAAGAAAAGAAAGGGTGGCTCCAAATCTTTGGAGCAAGACCCCTTTACTGACATCAAGCACCTCATTGGGGTAACAATAATAAATACATTACTCTAAATTGCCTAATAATTAATAAAAAATTTTATAATTAAACAGGTGCAACACCTTGGTATTTTATTGGAAAGTTATACATAAGATATAGCATAATCAGTCCCAGCCTGGAAGCTGTGTTCAGTATCTTAGTTTCATCAAATAAGATATTTGAAACACTGGCTTCTGGTTGAGAGACTGAATAATCTCCCTAAAGAGAAACATTAATTGAGAATTGCAACCACTTTGATTGTTTTGAAGCCAAGATTCCCTGTTGAATAAAATACTACATTTTAACATTTATATGTAAAAACATTTTGATTTTTTTGGCCAATGTTAATTAACCCTAAAAAAAAGTACCTACAAGGTGATTTTTTTTTCAAAAACATGTATGAAGTATAAGCAGATGAGTTCTTTTTTACTAATTCTAAAAAAAAAAATTGCAATAAATTTCCCATTTTCTTTGGGGGTTAGGAGCAAACTAGTGAGGAGGGAAGGAATAAAATTTCAAAAGGGAGCAAATGTTAACAAATTACGTTGCAACCTAAAAAAAAAAAGTACTCAATGAATTTCAGATTAAAGGGAAAAGCTAGAGTGAAACGTGGGGTAAAATTGGGAAACTAAATTTTACAAAATTATTATTTTTAATAAATGTTGCTTAGGAAGTCCTTTTGACAACAAAAAAACTAAAAATGAAATTAAACGTTGCCAACCTGTTCAAACTTACTCTAATAAGTTTTAATAAAAGAGGACATACAATTTTTGGATTTCAGATTTACTTAATGTAAACTGTGGCTTAGCGATTCTTTTTAAAAAATTAATAAAAAATACATGTGTAGTTCATTATTTAGTGTTTAAAGGTTTAAAGTAATGTCATGAGATAGGGTTTGATAAAATAAATACAAATGTAAAAATTAAGAAGTTTGTGATGTAAGGGAAGTGAGCAACTTTAATTGAAAAATTTTTTTAGACAAATTTGGAAATCAATTTTGTATATGAGGCTTCTTTTAATTGAATGAGTTTTCAGTGCATATAACACAATTTTTTTTTTTTTTTTGGGGGGGGGGGTTTATCTCAGTGTGGATGGAAAATTAGGATGAAATTTCCTTTAAGACACCTGCTGTCATGTTCACCTACAGTAAAATGGGTACCTTTAGTGAGTAACTGGTTTTACTTGGAGAGAGTTCCGGGGGTCAAGCCCCGCGGCCCGGTCTAGGGCCAGGCTCCTTAGGTCATTGTCCCAGGATGCGACCCACACCAGTCGACACACCAGGTACCCATTTTACTGATGGGGAACTAGACACAGTGGAAAGAAACACGTTCCAATGTTTCTTCATTGGCTGGGATCGAACCCAGGCCTCACCGGTAAAGCGGAGAGCGTTACCACCGGCCACCAGAGGTGTGGGTTGCATCCTGGGACAAAATTGACCTAATTTGCCCAAAATGCTCTGCATACCCAGGGGCTTTCTATATAGTAGTATGTCACTGATATTAGCTAGGCCTGGATACTTTATACATGTACTTGTAGAAATAAAGATATTATTATTGAATACCTCTAATTTCCCCAAGTGCTGTAGGGCCCCTACAGGTTTAGCACTTCCCAATTATAATAAAAGTAGTGTGTAAAAGAGACAGAGTTGGAGAGTAAAAAAAAATAGAGGGGAGAAAAAAAGATAAGGGGGGAAAAAGAGCAAAAAGGAACTAGAAAATAGCTTAGATACAAGATGAGAACAAAGTGGAAAGGGAGAGAAAGGAGTTGAAAGAAAAGATGGAAATGTGAGAAGGGGTTCCGAAATAGAAGAGACACAAGAAAACAGGATGAGGAGAGAGAGATATAGATAGGTATGGGGAAAATAGAAGAGAAGATAGTGTTCCGAGAAAGATTGAGGCAAGAAAGGGAATGGACAGTAGAGAGTGAGAATTGTGTGTGTGTGTGTATCCTAATTCTTAATGGATTTCAGTCTGCCTATTATACTTACTCTTGCAACTGTGTGTAGTGTTTGCCTCCACAACCCATTCATCTAGAATTTTCTAGATATTCCACTTTCTACCTTGAAGATTGAAAAAAAAAAAAAAATTTCCTAACCCTTGGCTATATTTCTCATTAGTGGAAAAAGAAAATAAAAGATATGTTGCAGGACGAGCTTTCATTGGTGTACATTTTGGTGTACAACTTCACAAATTAATGAAGTTTTGCATAAAGCAAAATGTCGTCCTTACAAGAGCTTGTTCCCGACATATACCTTTTTCTTCACCATTAGTTCTGGTTGCACTTACTTCTGAACTCTTGTACAGAATCAGCTTATACTGTCTCACTGTATAGGTCATTCCACTTATATATTGAAAAAAAAAAAAAAAAAAAAAAAAACGTTTCTTGGATGTCCATCTATGCATAATCAACTAACTAATTATACATGTGTGCACGCATGCATAATTATATAATTCAACTTTGGCACTGTTACACAATTTTTTTTTTTTTTTTTTTTGTCTATGAAGGAGATTTACCCCAAAACTTTTCCTGCATTTTTTTTTAAGTACAGTACATGATGTACAACATAGTGTAATAATAATAATAGTCACTGCACGTAAGTACGTACGTGTGTGTGGTGTGTGTAAGTGTAGGTGTATGTGGGTCATAAAACACATTTAACTTGTTAAGGATTATAAAAGTTGCATTATTTACTATAATGGCTTATAATTCAGCAGTGCTCATACCTTCAGCAACATCACCAGTAGTGCGACTGACTAGAGTGTAAACAGGAGTCAGCTACAGCTGAAGAACTCTTGATCTTGCACTTTCAGACAAGTCAGAAGGCAATAAATATAATGGTTTACAACTAAATAATCATGAACATATTCCAGTATAAGGGAAAATGAACTTATTTCTAAAGTAGGTAAATGTGAAGGTAACAAGACAGAAATATGAAAAAAAAAATGACCAAACAGAGAATACAAAGATTTTGAATACAAATGTACTCAAAACAGTAAATGATAATGGATGTCAGTGTGTTGCTCCAGAGAGCACAATATAGAAGGACTGGTGCACCCACAAAGTTATTTGTATGAATTAGTTTCAGAGCAAATTGAGGCAGGAGTGAGCGGCAAGATGTGAGGACTAAAATCCATTCATGATGCTGAGACTCCATTCTATACAAGAAAGGCACTGACTGCTCCTGGAATACATTGTAAAGATGATAATGGACGGGCTGCACAGTAACATGCAACCAGTTCACTTTCTTTTCAAGACTCCAGTCTCCTTAAATACACATTTTTCAAGACCGTCCATGATCCTAGCGATTAGCGGAAGGCTTGATATGTTATCAAAATCACAAAGCTCTTTCATGAATGTAATATAGTATTACTAAGTTTAAAGTAAAAAAAATTGAGCTTTCAACTAATAATTTAGAAGATCCAATGCAAAAACAAAAAAAGTACAGCTGGCACCCTAAAAGGAATGTGTAAAAATCACCTTTGCAACACCTAAAAGTTTCCATGGAAGGGATGATTAAGGACATTTTTGCTGAGTTATTGCTTGTAAATGTTACTCTTTTAATGTCTGTCATATTATACTTAAGATGTAATGTATTAATCCAAGAGACATTACTTATATATTTGATTGTCAAAGAAAATGCTTGTATAAAATTAACTCATTTCCACAATGACAGCTTATTTTACACTAATTCAAACAGCACTTCCAATGGAATAATTATACCATTAGATGCATGGCAAAACTTTTTTTAAGTTTTCAACTCTTCTAATTTCAATCACCCTTTCTGGTAATACAGGTAATGAAAATATATTTTTCTTATCAAAGGAACCTTTTAGGGTTTTTAAAATAACTGAAATGGTAACCAGCTAACTCAAATTTTAAACTTCAAGACAATCTTGTACTCATTCACCCAAGTTTTTGGCTTAACATTCCAACGACTTACCAAAAATGAGCAGGTATTTGTATGAACATCAACAATATTTACAGAAATGAACAGGAGTAACTTGGCACTCATAAGTTTTAGGAAGTCAAAGTAGTTTCTGATCAATTCCTGACTCTGTCTAGAATATTATATCTAAATAACATCCAGTTCAGGCACTCCTTATTCCAGAAAATATTGCACACTCAGTTCTGAATTAAAATATTCACATGTCAGCACTCCATATCTAAATTCTTCGCTATTTTCTTCAGCTGATTCCATTAAATTTCAGAGTATCACGTTAATCACATATGGTCATCAGCAACAACTGGGTCAGCATTTGGGTTCAATACTTTATGGAGAGGAAAGGGTGCATAATATACAAAAGGCACTTATATATGCAGTTCTATCTTTGCACTCATGTAGTGTCAGTGCCATTGCAATTTAAAGGTCATTTCGCACACTGAACATGTGATGTTTTAATATATTCAGCCATTTTATCAGCAATTGGCCAAACACAGTGTTCAAAATGTACTTCAGTACAACACTTTTGATTTTTCCTTCTACCATTGGAGTCCAGAATTCATTCTGACTTTGGCTTACCAACCCATTTCCATCACAAAAATCACATTACTCTTATCCAAAAAGGACAGTTAAATCATTAACCTTTTCACTCTCAACAACTGATACTACAAAGTTTGCATGATGTTTAGCATATTTTAATTGCATAGGCAGGAAAGCACATACCAAGTATCCAATAATCATAACATCCCCGAACAAGACACTTCATAAACAGGGCTCTTCATCCAACTGGTACACCACGCTGACGAGACAAGGAATCCCTAGCAGTGTGAAGCCTCCGTACCATACAGTTTTACTCCCACTTGAAGATGGAGAGGAGCATGAGGGGGAGGGGGAGGTGGGGAAGTGTGGGTATTGGTTGGGAATCGATGCAAAGAAGACTGAGAAGAAGTAGAAGACATGGAAGTAATTGAAGGATTGGGAATAGGTGGTGGGGGAGGGGCACGACGCTGACCAACAGGTTTGACTGCAAAGAAAACAAAACATAAATATTGTGCATTACAACAATAAGTAAAAACAATTATCAACAAAATGAAAAACAGAGGTATTATTAATGTGAAGGGTTTACCCTATAAATTACAATATATTTTAAAGAATCAACATCAATGGCAAAACATATCAATAATAACTTCTATATTCAAAAGTAACTTAAATCTACATACGTATATAAAAAATTCAATACAGTTTTGGTGCCATTTAAGAAATCACATGGTAAGAGACGTAATTCAAAATGAAGATAAGGAAAAATTAACACACAAGGGACAATTCCAAGTTGATATTTTGCACACCTTATTTGTTAAGTGGTTTATGGTTAGTACAAAACATTATATATCTTATTTGTAGTATTTTCATCTACAATATGCTCACCTATCCATCTTCACCTTTATTTTCCTAACTCTGAGAAAACAAAATGTTACAATAGTGAGGAAAAATTTCTTGACGTATTCCTTTCTTCTCTAGCTTTCACTTTCACTTAACTCTATACTCTTATCCCTTCCCCATACTTGCTCTTTCCCAAGTGCATTTTTCTTTATATGTCCATAATTCTCCATAGGGAAGTGGAACAAAATTCTTCCTCCGTAAGCCATGCATGTCGTAAGCGGCAACTAAAATGTCGGGAGCAAGAGGCTATTAACCCCTTCTCCTGTATACATTACTAAATTTAAATAGAGAAACTTATGTTTTTCTTTTTGGGTCACCCTGCTTTGGTGGGATGTGGCCAGTACACTGAACCCAAATGTTTATTTTATCAACCATTTCTTTACCACTACACTGTTTCCCCTGCACTGTATGACCCTTGTAGGTTCAGTGCTTCTTTTTGATTATAATGATAATACACTATTTCCTGAGTTGCTTTACTCCTTACAAGTCTCATGTCTGCAGTCTGCCTATTTATATTTTTTTTTATATAAAATGTTTCCAGGGTTAAGGACTTAATATTAGCATTATGCCAGATTAATGCAGTATCTACTGTAGGTTAACTTTACCACTGCTGACACAAATGTCCGCATACCTAACAATCCGCTTTTTCTTTTAGTATTCTATTAATTTTAAAATAATGCTCCTGATTCATACATCTAAGAATCTGCTTTACCATTCTTATTGAAAATGGTGAACTACACTCTCAACTACCCTAACCTGTCTGACAAATAAAAATTACAATGAGAATTTTATGTTTACATTAATCTACAGTGAACCCTCTGGTGGAGACTGACAAGATGCAGACAGTTATAGAGAGACTCGATTGCAATCAAAATTTGTGTAATAAATCAGTTGCTGTCAAAAGAGAGGGAGTCTGTGTCAAAGGTGGGCTGTCAGCAAGGAGGGAAAATAAAGTAAGGGTGTGAGAGCGACTACAACGGAGGAGGAAAATTTTGCGTGCTCATTGATAGACAGGACAATCGAATAGAATATGGGAAATTGAAACTGGAACTAAGCAATTCTCACAAAGTGGAACAGGACGCCTCTCCACGAGATACCCAGGAGTTAGACGAGTGTGTCCGATGCGAAGACGAGAGAGTGTTGTCTCTCAACCTCGGTATCAATGACAAGAAGGCCAGAAACTCAAACTTGGTTTGATAGAATGTAATTTGTTATGAGTCATATCAGACCAATGTTGTTGCCAATGGTTGCAAAGGTGAGTAGAGATTACAGCAAAATAGTAAGAGAATGGAATACAGTGGTACCCTGAGTTTCGAACTACTCACAACTTGACCAATTATGTAAGTGTATTATTGTAATTGCTTTTGTAAGTGTATTTTTGGGGGTCTGAAATGGACTTATGTAATTTACTTTATTACAGGACTCGAACAGCCTTCTGGAACGAAGAAAGTTTGAAACACGGGGTACCACTGTACCTCTATGTGAAACCAGTAGGTCATGTACTGCAGACTGCACAGCAGAGTCTGCCTACTCATTGCCCTGAACATCAACATGATCAGGGACCCAACAGAAAACAATTTCTTTATTTTTGCTAGTAATGCCACACAACCAAAGTTGTATACAAGGAACTGGGAGGTGAGGTGAATCATTTTTTAATAGCTTGCAAAGCTCTAAATGAGTCTGAGACGATTACAAACACTGAAGTAGGCATAGATAGAATACGGATAATTGCAACGAGAACGGCATACAATTCAGCTGTAAAAGTGCCAGCAGTCTAATAAATGACCATGTACCACACTGTCAGGAAACACTGCTGCAAACCCAACATCATCAAAGGATTTAGAAACAACAGTGTACACTGCAACAGCACGAGAATGAGATCAGAAGTGAATAAGAAAATGAGAGTAAGAAGCAACTGGAGGGATTTGGGCTTTCACACACTGGAATGGGGAAGAACAGACACTAACTGTCGGAACTTCCCAAGGGCAAAGTGAAAAGTTAGAAGCTAAATGAACATATAAAGGGGGCAGCTGAAAAGAACAAGAGCGATTGAAGATGAAGAGAAAAGGGATGGAGTAAACGGGTGGTGAACAAATGATGGACCTCTGGCAACGTCCATTCGTGAGCCATACAGGTGCAATGGAGTATAGGGATGATTGAAAGTCTGGTGAAAGTAATTTGGTTTTAGTGCTAGAAAACTTAAACCCATGAGTAGTGGCCCAATGAGAAACACTGTTAACAGCATTCTGAAGTAAGGTTGGTACTAGGCAACAGACGGAACCTGCACAAGCTATAGAGAAGTCATCAATATAGTGACGACCAAATATTAGATGGGAGAACAGATGCTAGATCATTTATACCAAGGAGAAAAAGTGTGGTGCTAAGGATACATCCCTGAGGAACACCTTCAGCTTGGACAAAGTCTGGGTAGAGCAAATTATTAACCTGAACATGGAAATGTCTTTCAGATAAGAAGTTTGCAAGATAAAATGGCAGATTGCCTCAGAGGCCTAAGGAGTGAGCTTGGGCAAAGATGTTATACTTCCAAGTAGTGTCATATGCCTTTCCAAAATTGAAAAAAAGACCGCTATAACGGACTGGTTACTAGCAAAGGCATTACAAACATAGGTATCTGAACAGAGTAAGGGGTCAATAGTGAAGTGGCCCTTATGAACTCCATATTGAGGGGAAAGAGACTAGTGTCTCTAAATACACCCACCATCCTACTTACGACCTGCTCAACTTACGACCACTCGACTTACGACCATGTTTTTTATGCCAAATTTCTGGGAAATAAACAACTATTTTTGTACAGTGTTTATCCTAAACCTTACAGTATAAAATACAGTACTAACAGCATAAAAAGTAAAGTAAAACATGAAATACCAAAATAAAACAATAAAATAAAGTCATTACAAAAATGTTTTGTTGATATTCAGTAGTAAAGTTCGACTTACGACCATTTCGACTTACGACCGGTTTCTCGGAACTGAACTCGGTCGTAAGTCGGATGGTAGGTGTACCACATCACACATCTTTTTACCAGACATTCCATCACCTTGTAAACTGCACTGGTAAGAGCAATGGGACAATAGTGCGAGGTATCATGTCATGAAGTACCTGGCTGAAATATTGCAGGTCCATGGCAGAATGCCCAGTCTGTGGTGCTGCCAACCATATCAAAACATCCTGCAGCCTACCTCCCTCTTGCCTTAAATGTAATGAGGCTCACCAAGCTTATTCTCACTGTTGCCAAGTTTACTTAAAAAAATGAGAAATCCACTGTCTCAAAGAGAAGAAGGTTTCACTTACACCATGGTAGTCTCTCATCTCCACCTCCAAGGAAAACTTCCATGACTTTTATTCTAGTTGCTAAGAGGCCTCCAACCTCAGTGGTCCAGTCTTCCACAATCTCCTCTGTGGTCACAACTTCCCAGTCACCTCTGTATCTAACTTTTTTGCAGTCCTGGACTCTTAGGTCCCTACCTCATCGCCTCAAACTGTTCGAGTCTTCATCTTCTTGCCCACATGTTTCTGTGTCTACAAGACCACCCACATCTACACCTCTTTGCCTCTCTACTTCTCAAGTTCTAAAGCATCCCCAGAGTTCAAATCTCCTTTAACCCCTCCTTCACTTATCCTTCCCAAACATTTTTCCTTTCCAGTCTGTGCCTAGTACAGTACCATCATCTCCTGTCCCCTCCCAAGTTTCTTCCTCTCCTGTCCTCTCCCAAGTCTCTTCCCAGGTTACCTCTAACCTCTAATCCCCCCTTCTTTGGTAACTTCCATCATCTCTCCAATCTTTACTCACCCTCTCTCTCTGATGTTGTACTACCTGCAACTTCTTGTCCTCCGAAACGCTTGAAGCTGTCTCCAAATACGCTGAGGAAACAAAAACGATAGACACTGATCCACCTCCCATCACTCCTCCTCACTTTTCTAAACTATCTACACAACTCCTTTCTTCACAGTATTCTAATCTTTCACTGCTTACTCGTTTATCACTACCTCCACACATAGGCTTTACTAACCCTCCTAGTCCATAGACACCTACTGCTTCATGTTACCAGTTTACTTCTCTTCGCAAATTATGACTTATTTACAATGGAATATTTGAGGCCTTGGGAAATTGGGGTGAGCTTCAGGTGTTGCTCTCCTAGTTTTCCCATTTGTGTCTGCTTACAAGAACCTAAATTATGTTCCACTGTTATCCATCCTGTCTTGGGCTATATTTTATTGCATTCATTGGATCCTTTTCCCGATGGAACTTTTAACCCTTTCGGTGTTGGTCCTGTTATATAATAGCTTTGAAGCCAGTGTTCGTCCCGTAGTACAACTTCTTCAGCTCATTTCACTCAGATAAGCTGCAAGCAGTAAATTTGGGCCTTGATATGAATGGGTCTATGCGGTAAGTGTGCACCATATAAAATAAAATCCTGCAGCACGCAGTGCATAGTAATAAAAAAAAACTGTAGCAGTGTTTTTGGTTTAAAACAGCGACTTTGCGGTGTATTTTCACATGCTTTTTATTGTTGTATTCTCAGTTTCTTGATCTCTTTTGATAAAATGGAAGATATATTACAG